TACTAAAAATACAGGGTTCTTTTTCCAACAAACTTTTAAAATAATCGTTCCGGAACTAGGTTATAAGGTCAAAGAAATATAAGTGAAAGAACAATACAACGTACCTTTAATTAGTTATATGTTCTTTTATAATTAACAAAGTTTCATGGCATGTATTCATAAAACTTTATTATGACCGAGGTTCTCAACGTTTTAATTGGCTTTTGTGCTTTATGCACCTTTTTTCTTATTACTGTTACCGCTATCATCATCATTATATGTCCCTTTCGTGGTCCAAGTCAGTTTTCAAGGATTGTGGACTCTCTATATGCCGCTATACAATAAAGCTATTCTATCCACACTTAGCTGTTAAATTCGAGTGATAAACCGGCATTTTAAAATTTTATAACAATAGCGAATATGGCGAGCACCGTGACCTCCCATTTTTATGTCATCGCGAGCGCCGGCGACCAATGACTACAAAACATAAACACAGTGCCAAACATGGCTGCAAGGTAGCTGATTTTTAAATATTTGCACAGTAATTTTATCAACTTAAAAACTGAGCGCGACTAACGAGATGAAATGCGATGATTTAACAACAAAGATAGCTATATACGCAATTTCATATAGTTGTTCTCGTTCTTCAAAATGTATAACAGTAGTTCATTACCAAATAAGCAAACTTAGATTTATCAACTGAATTAAAAATTATCACTTGGAGGTTTATTATGCTGCCTTGCTACGGCCACAGGTTTCATCACGAAGTCTTTCTTCACCGTTATCGAAAGGTAATGCTTACTAAACTTTCAGAAATGTATATAACTTAAACTTTAGTCATAGGTACGTCTCACCACAGGGTAATGAATCGACGACCTCTTTATTTGAGAAGCAGCCGTTCTCCACTACCAAAACTACCGTTCTTTATATCTATTTAGTTAAAGACTTGTGTATGGAGTGCCAAAAAAATGGTGTGATATTTTAATTCCAAACTCTGGGATATGTACTAGAGCCCCACGAAGGGCGCCATTGTTATAGATTTTTAAAAGTGACGCCCAACGTGGGACTTCAGTATTAACGGCAACGGCTTCAAAGAAACCTTACACGCGACCAATAGAAAATAAATATTATAAACATTTATCTTTTAAAGTGAAACTCTTAACATAATGCAGGATAATTTTATATTGTTCTTTGTTAACCTAGAAAGTTTGTTTATTAAAGTATTCGATTTAACACTTTAATCAACATTTGTCGCGTTATACCCAATTAAACCGTATCGGAAGAGATTATCCTTGATGAGTATTCTTAAATTAGTTTTGTTATAAGAGAGTAAAAACGATGTTTGAGTTACCAATTTATTTTTGTTCAGAATACAAATGTTTGCTTTAAAAGTAGGTAATTGCTTTGAGCGTTTGTAAATAGGACCACATTATAGCATGTACAACGTATAATTATTTAATCTTTACTTTAAATTCAACTCGTAAGTGACAGGTGGTTAGTGTCAGGTAGGGACCGACCTAGGTGAATTTACCATGACTAAATTGAGGACGTCCAAGAGTACCCTTAATCGACGAGCTTGAAAGCATTGATGCGTGTTGATGAGGCGAATGATGTGTGTCAAGATCGTGTGGAAGCAAGTGGAGGGTGTGAAATATATGCATGTTTAATAAAGTACAAGAATATTTATGTTTAGTAGTAGTTAGTTTCTTGTAAAATTGTCAAATATCTAATCCTATATAATAGAGTAACAGTAGAGATCCTTTTGAAAGATTTCGTCCAGGGAATAATTGCCACCTTACCTATTTCTGCCGCCAAGCAGTAAGAGTGAGTAAGAATAAGTAAGAGTGTTGCTGAAATCACAGGCATATGAGATTTGTCAACTTGTCCTTCAAAAGGACGGGCGCAGTGGCAGTGCCCCTCAAATTTTTGCGATTTAATGTTCTGAGTGGCAATACAACTATTATGGACAGACGTGTAGCTTACTATAAATGTGAGGCCAGACGAGCGTAATTTTGTGCGTTGGGAGTTTGCGCAGCATTCGGTTTCATATAAAAGTACAGTTTGTTTCACACGACGACGCAAAATGAGTTATCTGCCGATACACGGGCGTAATGACGACTGACTTTCGGTCGCAGCGTGTGACGGACTGGCGCGGGTGGAGGTAGGGGTGAGGGAAGGGGGTCACTTTGGTAAAAACGCTTAAAAGTAACTGAATAAAATACGTTCGTCTGGTGCTCCAACCGAGTTTCGGTCGAGCGCAAACTGCGCACCTCAAAAAACGCCACTCACAATTCACAAAATTGCGCTCGTCTGGCCTCACCCTAAGGCGCATGAGTTGTCCGCCCTGTCACTTGATATTACAAAATAGAAATCTGCCGCAAAGCGGTGATATGGCATTACAGCGTTCCGGACTTATCAATTTTATATTTCGGGGTGACGAATTGCAGTGGAAGTAAATCACAAAGACTTGAAGGTCAGGTCTTTGTGATTTAAAGTGGCACTACAACTGTTACTAAGAACTGTCATTTGATAATATTAAAAAAAAGAAATGTATGTACGTCACCGGTGTTTAACCCTTTCATGCTCAGTAACGGCGTTTGTCGTAAAATTTAATGTCAGAATATGGTTAGTACGGGGTAGCCCGTTTCGCTATTTGGGTCTCAAGAAGCATGTGAACACAAAACACATTGCCGTTCACTGCGTCTTTATAGAGGAGTATCAACAAAATTGTATGATTTACGTTGTACGTTATATGTAATAATAATAATTTTCTTTTTTCATATCGAATCAATAAAAGCACTACAACCCAAAGAAAAGCAATTTTTGAGTGCGGTGTTATTTAATTCCTGGAGGTGCAGTGCGTCTGGTATGTTCGCCATGAATAGAGTAGATCATTTTTGCAATGATACGCGAACAACACCGATTGGTCTTTTCCATCGAGTTTATAACCAGAAATAGAAACGAAATGTCATTTAGTTTGTTTGAAAACTATTCTGTTAAATCATTGCGGTGACAACTGCGCTCCATTTGGCCTGCGTGAATTCGAAACAATTGACGAGTGTTGTCAGTTGTTTCATTTCAATACGACCAGTTTAACTTGAGCTTTGCTATAACGGACGAAAATTAAAAAAAAATCATAATTTAATATTTAATTACCGATGAAATGTGGTGATTAGATGTTTTGCTGTTTTTCTTACACCACCGAATGGAACAGCCCCCATTGTTAGAGATATAATCTTTATTACAATAAATACAGAATATGTTTTTGAATACACAGAGACGTACACACAGGTCAGTTGTTGGCGCTGTACTATTTCAGCTTTCTTATTTGTGATTTCAGCGCAAACGAGAGTTGATATTTAAAAGTTATGTCAGTACCATTTGACTGCGAGAGATTTCTTACGAGAGTCAGCGATTCGGCCAATATTATTGTAAGGATAGCATGTGCTACTTTCTAAACGAAAACACAATATTTAAAATATAATTTATTATAACGATTAGTTGTACTTGACGTATAATTTAATTTGAATATTAATGATTTACTTCATTAATAATAACGTGAGTTAATAAAATTCAAAATAAGTTATATGATATGTAATGTGATGTTAAATTGTTATTAATGCGTATATACCTAAATAAAGAAACATTTTTATTAAGTACTGTCTATGAATGGGTTAACTTGTTTAGTCAAACACACAGAGAGCGAGTGCGGGTCGGGAGCATGGCGGGTCTAATTCTGTGTATTTATATGGGCGACAACACACCACGCCCAGTATGTTTCACGGTTTAATATAATCTGTTTTTGGATACGTGCGAAATAAATAAATTTATTATTATTGTTTTTTATAACGAATTGGGGATTTATTTCTTTACTGTTAAGTAACGTAAGTACAGTATTACGGAGTACGTGACCAGGCATCATTATGGCTAGTCACATTCTCGCATGAGAGTCCGCCTCATTTCGGTGTCGAGGTCAAGGGTGGATGTGTAGTGGAAAAGTGATTTAGAAATGCTAATCGTGTATGATTATGACTTTTGTTATTAATGTTATACGGTACGAAAATCGTATTTTCAATATTCAGTTTCTGCAGGGACAGCCGCCTTCCAAATACGTGTAATAAAATTTGCTTTGCTTCAGAATAAAGAGCATTGAATGGAATATGCTCTTTGGGAAATTAAAAATAATTTGTTTCCGTTTGATTGCAGCCGTGGTAGCTTAACGTTTGACCTACCTTTCAAACTGACGCCGTGGGTTCCAATCCTGACTTCTGAGTTTCCCGGAATTGCTGTGCAAAATTTAATTTTTACCATAAGCTTTTCGAAAAAGATCCATAGCCCTCGGAAAACGTGTTAAGTCCCCAACACGCATTGGGCCGAGGGACGTGGCGGCTACGGCCTGAACCCTCGCGGTCTTCTCTCAGGAAACCCGTGTCCAGCAATGGGATGATGTGCTGAATTGCATATTTTATTTTCTCTAACAAACCAATGTTTTGGTTTCTTTACAGGTTCCAGGATCACGGCTGACAGGTAGTATTAGTCATCAATCTGTTACAGTTTAATTTTGAACTATGGTTACAAAAACTATTAATTTATCTACCTTATTTTGATTATAGTTATTAATACAAAGACCGAACACATAGAAAAACTTTTCCGACCCGATGGGACTTGAACCTACGACCATACTGCACCGTAGAATAGCTCTCACCAACTGAGCTACGGTCAAGTTATCGAGTTGTCTAAATTCTCCTAATGGATTTTAAGGCATTCTTAACCATTGGTGACATCTAGTGAGAGATTTTAGAACCGTCTTCATTATCTTACTCTTTATTTTACGGCAATAGGTGACAATTATTATTTTATTTCAACTGATAATTCTTGTACATCGACTTGTACTGCGATGACCCTAAAACTTATAATTCCGATTTCATTTTGTAGTCTATTTTTTTTTTTTTTTTTTTTTTGGGGTATTTGGCTTCTGTCCTACTGAGGACAATTTTGCCAGTGTCCGGGTTGAAAGATACACGGTATATTTATCAAGATTCACTCAAACGACGATGATCGGTTGCACCATCCTATGGACAAAGACAAAACACGGGGTTATTTGACTAGCTACTTTGGATGAAAAGCGTAAACACATGCTGTGCACATAGTAAAAGTTATAAACGTATGTTATTTTGTTCAATATATTTAAATAGAGTAAATAGTAGAGGAGGTTTTAAGGGAGAAAGGATACTATAAAAATTTGTGGGACGAGGGATACAATCTGGAAGAAGATCGTATAAAGAGACGGGATATAATGCACAGTTAAAAAATATATGGTCAAGAGTTCCTTCTTCAAGACCGCACTCACAAAGGGAGTGATCCCTTATCCTGAGCTTAGCAAGAAAAGTGGGTCTGCAGTTATGTCCTAGGCGCAATCGGATGATAGTTGAAGTTGTTCTTTTACTGGCCTCACGGAACTCGAAAAACCAAGGTTTCTTGGGTATTACTGGTTGAAGACCAGCATAATATTTGCCTTTTTGTCTGCTAGAAGACGACCAGTAAGTCTTCCAGTTATTGTGTAAATCAATCTTAGCCTGGGAGCGTAAGTCTTGAGAAAAACATTTGTCATATATAATGGTACCAGAATGAATCGCCCATTTAGCCCATCTATCCGCTTGTTCGTTCCCAGGAATGCCAGAGTGTCCAGGAATCCAAACCAGAACAATTTGTATGCCAAGGTTTGAGCAATTGTAAAGGAGCTCTTTTGTTTTAAGATTGATTGGGTGAACATCTTTGCTACGAAAGGGGAATTTTAACAGATCGTCCAGGCAGCTACGAGAGTCTGTAAAAATTACAGATTTGTCTATTTTGTGGGATTCAACATATGAAACTGCCTCAAAAACAGCGATCACCTCACCCGAATATACGGACGCTTTAGAGGGAGATTTAAAAGTTAAGGAGATATTAAATGTAGGGATCCAGACGGCAGAGCCAACAAAATCATCTGTGGTGGATTTGGAAGCATCTGTAAAGATATTGAGCCAACCGTTCCATTTCTCATTAACAATTTTATTAAAAAGTATTCCAGCATTAGGGTCATCTTTGACAATTCCTAGGTTGGTAACAATGTTGGGTTTAAAAATTAGTGCATCAAAATCAATTAAAAACAATGGATTACCAGAGTATTGATTGATAGGGGGGCCAATGAGAGATTTGTTAAAGCTTTTTAAAAGGCATGGAGGGCTCTTATGTTCCCAGTATTTAGAAGTTGTAACAAGGTTCGCTAGTTGAGTCAAGGGGGCAAGTAAGGGGTGGGCAGAATTTTGTAAGATTTTGAAAAAGAAACGGTCGCATAAGTACTGACGACGGAAACATAACGGGGGATCTAAGCTCTCAACCTGCATGGCATTGATTGGAGATGATTTCATAGCTCCTAATATAACACGAAGACATCTAGCCTGTATATTATCCCAATAGTTAACAGCGGATTTGTTACAGGGTTCTAATAAAAATGAAGCGTAATCAAAATGACTCCTTATTACAGCATTGTAGATCAATTTTTGGGTATAAGGGTGGGCACCCCACCATACTCCACACAGAGCTCTAATAATATTTATACCCTTTTCACATTTATTTTTAATATAATTTAGGTGAGGGATTCCAGTCATGTGGGAATCAAAAAAGAAGCCTAGAAACTTAACCTTGTCGTGTACAGGGATCAGTTCATCATTTAGGAAAATTTGTATATGTGGGACACGTCTTTTTCTTGTGAACACTACTATTGAGCTTTTACTGGGTGATAGGAGAAGGCAGTGATTAGTGAGCCAATCTTGCAAGTATCTAATGGCAGTATTTAGTTGGATAGTGCATTCATCAAGAGACTCTGAGGAATAATAGAGTGCTAAATCGTCTGCATACTGTAGAACATCACAGAAGCAGTCAACAGATTTATCAAGGTCAGCAGTGTATAGACTATAAAGGATGGGGCTCAAGACAGAACCTTGTGGGAGTCCCTTCCATATCATTCTGGGGGGGAGAAGAGAACCATTGATACGTACTGAGATGGAGCGAGACATTAGCATGTTATAAATGATGTTAATCATCCTCACTGGTAGACTCAGCTGATGCATTTTTTGCCTGAGTAGCGGGAGATGAACATTGTCATAAGCGGCTGTCACGTCCAGGAAGACTCCAACAAAGTACAATCCTCTGGTGAGTGCGAGTCTGATCTCAGTAGAAAAGGTACTGAGGCTGTCAAGAGTGCCCATACCCTTACGGAATCCGAACTGCGACCTGGATAGAAGTCCTTTGCTCTCCAATATCCACTCTAATCTATTTTTGATGAGGTGTTCCAATATTTTGCATAATACTGATGACAGCGCAATGGGTCTATATGAGCCAGGATCCCTTGGATCCTTACCTGGTTTAAGAATAGGGATAACAACTTGAAGTTTCCAGGAGTGTGGAATATCACCATTTTCAAAGACTTTATTGATAATATTAAGTAGGACAGTTTTCGAAGAATTTGAGATGTTCTTAATAAAAGAGTATGGGATACCATCGATTCCAGGTGTAGAGTCTCTTAGGTGGTTCAAAACTGAAGACAGTTCTACGGAGGAAAATGGTTGATCCATTCTATCATTAGAGTTGGGGGAAAAGGAGGGAGGGAAACAGTCCATAGATGGGACAGAAGGAGGTGCCAATCTATTAATAAAGTCATCGATCCAAGTTGAGGGCTCATTACAGGAGAAAGTATTGGATACACGAGAGCCTGAAAACTTTTTAAAATTTTTCCAAACTAGAGAAGATTTTACACGAGGAGAGAGATTCTCGCAAAACTGAGACCATCCAAGGCGCTTTTTTTTTGAGAACAGCTTTTTGGATTTAGCATTGAGCTTCTGGAAGGACAAAAAGTTTTCAATAGTAGGATTATCCAAAAAAAGTTCTTCAGCTCCATTGCGTTCTAGAATAGTTTCTGTACAGTCGGAGTCCCACCATGGGGGGGAGGAGATGGTGTCTTTCTTAGATTTTTTAAGAGGGATAGAGAGATCAGCAGCAGAAAGCAGAATGTTAATGAAATCCTCATAGATTACAAGGAAATTCTCATTTGTAATTAGTGGGAGTAACCTAGTTTTAACTTCCACTAATGAAGAGAATTCATCCCATTTAGCCTTATTCAGTTTAAATTTAAGGAGGGGGGGTGCAGGCGGTGCCAACTGGACAGACTGAGCGAAAGTTATTATTATAGGAAGATGGTCACTGCCATAAGAATTGAAAAGTACTCTCCAAGAGAATTTGGAAATTAATTCAGAAGAAATTAGGGAAAGATCAACACAACTGGGATTTTGGGCGGGAGAAGTTCTTCTCGTAGGGGAACAATCGTTTATAACACAGAGATTGTTATTATCAAGCATGCCAATAAGAAAGGTGGCAGGAGATGAACAATGGCTAGAGCCCCACATTGTGTGATGACAATTAAAATCACCAAGCACAACAAGAGGGGATGGGAGAGAAGCAAGGATGGAGTCTAGTTCAGTGAAGATAGATTGATCAGGATGGGGGATGTATACTGAAACAAATGTTATGTTTAAAGCTCTAGCTGCTACGACATTAAAATTCGGGGAGTGAGAAGGAAGGTGTAATAAAGAATAAACAGTGGGTCTTTTAATAATTAGAGCACAGCCATCATATCCATTGTTGTTATCATCCCTGAGACATGAGAAACCAGGAATCCTAAAACGCGAAGATGGCTTTAGCCATGTTTCCGAGATAGCCAGGATGGTGGGCTTATAGTTATTTATTAAATCAATTATTTCATGTTTTTTATGACGAATTGACTTACAGTTCCATTGTAGGATTGGGGTCATTATTAATATGGATTAAAGAGTTTAATTTATTCAGTGATTGAATGACATTGTTCGGTAGGGAATCATCAAATTTAGAAAGAATATTGATAAGTGTGTTGATAAGTAATTCAATAAGATTTTCGTTTCTGGAGGTACTGTTTGATAAGTCTGAATTAATAGCACAGCCATTAGGTTGTGTGGACTGCGGAGTCATAATAAGGTCATTGTGGCTTGCTTTATCGAAACCAGGTTTTGGGGAAACCCAGGGTCGGCGTTCAAAATAAACAGTTTTTCTTTGGGAGGAGCTTGGGGAAAGAGGGGGGAAATTATGAGGTTGAGAGGTTGTAGGAGAACATTGGGTTGCTGCAGGAGGTTGAGCTGTCATGGAGCGAGTGCTGTCAGCAAAAGATTTACGTACAGTCCGGAATCTAAGGGAAGCCTCCGAGTATGGGATGTTTTCTGTTGACATAACAACCTTAATAGATTTCTGTCTGGCTTGTTCAGGGCAAGAGGGATCCGTGGCCATATGGGGGCCACAACAATATAAGCATGTTGGTTGGGAGGTACCACAAGAATCTCCAGCATGTGGTTGGCTACATCTGAAACACCTGGGCTTTGAACGGCATTGGGCTTTCACATGACCAAAGCGGCAGCAATTGTTGCACTGTATGGTTGGTAGGGTATAGATCTCTACTGGAAGGGATGTATGATAACACAGGACTCTTTCAGGTAGCTCTTTGCCAAGGAAAGAGACCATTACTGTTTGGGAGGGGATCCAATGTGGTTTGTTATCAATATATTCTTTCCTGTTTAGACGTCTGGCCTTAATGGCTTGGGAGCCATTAGTGCAATCAATTGACTTGACCAGTTCTTCCATAGTCCACTCTATCGGAATGTTTCTAACAATACCATTTCTTATCAAGTGAAATGTGGGGATAATTGCTTTGTAAGAATTCGTGGTGAGGAGAGAATTTTCAATAAATTTGTTTGCGGATATTGCACTAACAAAAGTAACTACAACCCGATTGCGCCCTGTAGCTTTGATACCGTCTTTTGCAATCCCATGTATACCATTCTTACTTAGAAACTGGGCAAACGTCAATAATTTGATTGTAAGACCAGATGAGGGGTTGGACTCTTCTCTCGATACGTGAACTATAAATGGACCCTTATCAGATTCACTATATTTTAATTTCATACCGTCAGCAAATTCGGGTAAGCTGTAGGTTTGTTGGGTAGATGCATTTGGAGGAGCGTTTGAAGAACGTTTCGGAGGTTGCTCCGATGTAGTTTGGGAGGAAGATGCTTCATCACTGGCACGTTTTTTAGGCCTGGAATTAACATTTTGGGTGGGATAATGGTCGAAATCCATTTGAGAATCCGGGCTCAAGAAACCGCCAGTAGAGAAGCCGCCTCCCCCATCAGGGGGGTTATCGTCGTCCATCACCAGTTAGTATCTAAATTTACCTTCACAAACACAACAACAGCACCACAAAGTATACAAAAAAGGCAACCAATTTCACTCGGAAAGTAACAATTTAAATTTCGACACGTGTATACTGACAGGAGCCAGACACTCGACCTTTGTAGTCTATCTTTCTTGAAGACTGAGTAAAATGACATTTGTAGGGTTGCCAGTTTTCATAAAATTTTAAATAGTTATGTAGGTTGTTGTCGATAGTTTTATAAATAGATCTCGAAATAAGGTAAAAAATTTGCCAAAATGACTGAATTGTCAATGTTACTACGTTCCAACTATTACTAATTGCGTTGCCTTCTTTATTCTTATTCTGACTGATGGCCTCCTAGTACCGATATCAATTTTTATTCTTATGCATTTTAACAAGGATAGCCGAACTTAATGTCCGTGTTGAATTAAATCTCTGTATTTGTCATAAACATAGTTCTAAATATAGTGTATGAACGTGGGGCGCACTATAAGTTTCCGGAATGAAAAAGAAAAAATACTATAAATGGTCAGAAATGAATTTATAGTTTCTCAAAATATTCTCCGTTAGCGTTAATGTACTTTTTCATACGAATGAACCAATTTTCAAAAACAGTTATGCCTCTCCTCCGTGACAATCTCTGAAACATATTTTTCGTACTCTTCGACAGATTCTTCAGGTAATGAAAATGGTTGACCGCGTAACTGGTTCTTAATTTTTGGAAATAAATAAAAGTCACAAAGTGCCAGGTCTCATAAGGTCAACGTTGTTCACCTTCAAAACTTCATTTGTCTGTTTGGCCGTGTGAGAACTGGCATTATCGTGATGCAAGATGATACGGCGTCTACGGTTGCTTAATAACTTCCGGCAAAAAATGGTCATATACCAATCACTATTCACGGTTCAACGATTCTTCAAAGCAATAGTAGCCACGTGTCCAGTTTTATTAAAAAAGATGCAATCATCCGTTTAGAGGCACTTTGCACGCGCGCCACTATGGTTGGTTTCGGCTCATCTCGAAAGACCCATACGCTTGATTGCTGCTGTGTTTTAGGATCGCAACTTATAAATCCATGTTTGTTTGTGATGTAGACAATCAATTTCTAAAATGACGCCACAAAGTGAAAACAAGTGATAGCCAGATGAAACAAACTGTATTCTACAGCCAAAGAGTTCCATTTTCAAATGTTTTAATTACTTTTTAAATAGGCGCTTTGTCGTCGAGTTGCGGATACCAGCCCGTTGCACCAAATATCAAGTATGAGTACTTTTTAAATATTGTTTATGTATGTGGCCAGTTCCGGAAACTTATGGTGCGCCCTAGGTACAAACTACTACTAAACTAGGTAAACTGACAAAAATTGAAAATTCAAATGAATTTATGTTCAGTAATTGGTCGATGATGATTTAAATGAAACAAGTTCGGCTATTTATTCCATAAGCGTGACCAATATTCAGTCGGTAGTCGATAGAATATTTATCGACTACAATCACTAGCTGCTCACAACCGGGCAACAGTTTTGCGCTATGAACTGTCTTTTTACTCCACATTCGAAAAAGACAGAATATAGAGAAATTTAAACGTAGTAATGTAGTTTTATACGGTGGAAGGTTGCGTTAAGTTTAAAACTAGAAAAATGCATAATTCAAGTTCTTATATTTACGCGATTACTTTACATTGGAAATTAATTGGAAGGAAGAAATTGGAAATTAAATTAGGTAGGTATTAGTTAATCTAAAATCGCTTACATTTGATTTTTCCGAAACAAACCAATCTTTCGAGTTCTTTACAGGTCATGTTTCAAGTCAGCCGTGACCAAACAGTTGCAGTGTAACCACTGCACCCGTTAACCTGATACATAAAATTGACAAATCCCATGTAGCTTCACCCTTAGTAGCTCAGTGATTTTTTTTACTCCTAAAATGGGACATGTCTCCATAGTTAGGTAAGCTTACCTATCATTCAACAAAAATCATAGCTTCAAAATCCAGGTGATGTCCCGAAAACTTGAAAAATTATTATTTCGGAAAGTATTCGGTACTTGATTTTTTTTTGTGGAATTAGTCTTTACGTGCAGCTAGGTTTTAAAGCATGTTGAAAACTAGCATATAATAAAGCCAGAAAAAAATAAAGTAAAAAATGAGTAAATGGCGATTTATTCGCAGCTTATATGAGCCAGCGCGGCCAAAAAACGTTTATAATATGCCTACACGTAAGGCCTTTCAAAAAACAATCTTATGTATTACTTAGCTTAACGATTTGGTCACTAGAATTTTATTTTCAATAAATATCAAATACTTACGAGACATAAACTTTGGTCGAAGTTTTCTCCAAAACTATTGTGGTGAGACTGATGGGAGTTTTACTCGTACATTCGGAATGAAAAGTTTTCTCTGATTCTTTTGTTAACAGGGACATGTCCGATTTGCTGGCGTTGCGTCCACAAATTTGTTAATAATACTACGTAGTGTCACCGCCGCGCGGACGTCGTCGTGTCGACGCTGTGCGTGTGTCGTTGGCAAGATGCTGACACTCGAAAGACGTTAGTGTTCTCACTCTTCAAAACCGGAACGCAATGAATATCAAGTCTTACGGATAAATACGAACAAAGTATCAGGAATTTTGTTTTTACATTTTTTGCGACCAATATAGCATTTATAAGTCCTTTAACTTGAAAAATATGGCCCAGTAAATTCACCATTTTTATAAAAGCGGAAATCATAAAACCTAGCAAGAATACGCAGTATAAATACAGAAGCTGTTTTATTTATGGCTGATACCTGCTCCAGTCTTCATCCATGGTTATGCTATGCTTTAGTCTTTGTGGTATGGTTTGGGTTATGAAAGAAGCGAGAGCGTTTTGCAAAAAAAAATACTTAAGGGACACCACACATTACCTATATACATTACGGATACGCATTAAGGCGGTAAGAAAAATATCATTTTTTCAAACTCGAATTAAAAATAATTTTATTTCATAAGTAAAGAAATTACACTTGAAATCCTCAAATTGATTACAATGACAACAACAATCTCTTTGTTTCTCATTGTTTTTGTTAAAAAGTAATTAAAAAATAAAATAAAATAATTTTACACTTAAACATTGTCATTACTGTTATTATATTAAGCGTCGTTACTACCTTAGCTGGAATTCAAATTTTTGCCGAGGTAAGTTTGTGTTTTTTTTCTATAGTGAAAATTTCTAGGAATCGTGTTTTTACCTTATAGTAATCCGTGTGTATCTGCAATTTTACTATACATTTTTTCCAGTGATTGAGTAAACAATTTCACTGCTATGCGAAGTCAACCAAAGCCATTTGAGGTTGTATAGACTCTTAACTTAAAGCGTTTTTTTCATTGGCTTAAGTCGATCAATAAAAGTGGTGACTAAAACATTACTAATGCCGCTTTTACATTTATTATTTTTAAATACACTAACGAAATTACAAATAAATAATCTCAAGAAATGGAAAATTACATTTTATGGTCCTTCACCCATTAACTAATGCTACTTCGAATTTGTATTTCAGGAAATAATTATCATTTTCTAATTTAAATAGATATTTTCCATGAAAATTGCATATAAAGACGATATTGCACCACCATCTTGGAAGAGAGACTTTGCCTGTTCTATCGCTTGTACAATGGTCAATGTTCCGAAGAACTGTTTGACGTGATGTCAACATCAACATTTTATCATAGCACCACTCGCCATCGGCAGGAAGTCCATCCTTACAGTCTAGTACGGTTTCAGAGGAACTTTCTCCCACGTACAATCAAGTTATAGAATGAACTCCCTATCGGAGCTTTCCCGTAGGAATATAGTATGGAGTCCTTCAACAAGAATCCCAAAGGGTCGGCAACGCGCTGGTGACACCACTGGTGTTGCAGGCGTCCATAGGCGACGGTGACCGCTTAGCATCAGACGGCCGTATGCTTGTTTACTATCTACATATTGCTTAATAATAATAATAGTAACAACAATAATAATAATAAGAAAATGACTGTTATTATTGTACGTACGTTGTGACGGTGTGACCTCCTTACACCGACATCCCACCTTTTTGTATCGCCTCTCTCCATTCGTATCGTATCGTTATTTCTTCTTCTACTTATATTTAAATTTAATTTAATTTTTTAAATAAATTATTTATTCGGTGAGTGTGCCCAAGAGCTCCATCAACTCACCCCGCCTGCACCATTTTTTATCTTATTTGATCGATACTCCCTTCAGGCGTACTTTTCGTCATCTTTTATTACGCCCTTTTCGTCACCTTTTATTACGCGCACAGGCCAGGAATGGAATTCCCTGCCTGCGAGTGGGTTTCCAAGCACATACAACCCGAGTATATTTGAGGTGCGACTGAATAGGCATCTACTAGGCGATTCCATCGTATTGTAGTGGTCAAGAGCAAGTCAATTTAATTAAAAAAAACATGGTATCATAAAAAAACTGTTATACAATAATATAATCTATAAAATGTTATAAGCACTGTCTGTCTTTGTGCTCGCTCTGTTTGTATTTGGAAACACAGCCTTAAAAATACGATGAACACGCAATGTTCCCATAGCGATTTGTGGAGCGATAACTGTAAGCTGTAACCCAACAAACGTGGGAATTCAACTTGGAAACGTGCGTAAAAGACGATATACTTCGAATAGACGTGTTACGTTATACCTCATGTCTCACTCGTTTATTGGAATACTTATGTATGAATAATAATATCAAATACAACAATATTACGTACACTCTTAGGCAGTAACCATATAAGGACACGGAATCAAAATTAAGCTGGTCAGAAAAAAGCTTTATGGTAATCTGAATATCCTTAATGAAGATATTAAGATGTCTGGACATGAAACTATTTCTTTCGTATCTAAATCGCGCATATTTGTTTTTGAAATAAAGCAATGTTTTGGGCCCTTTACAGGTCCCATGGTCACGGATGAGTGAGGTGGCAAAGTCGTCAACCAGTTAGGTCTAACAGATCTATAAAAAATCATCCACTTCGAAGGGTGGCTGTTCACGCTTGAAGATTTATTTTTATAAATAGCGCCTAACTTTAATTTAGGAGCAATTACTTTAATGGTTGATTTTGCTATTTCTTCAATTCAAGGCGTTTTTCTCTCAATATAC